CCCCAAAACCCCAAAACCCCAAAACCCCAAAACCCCGCCTTAATAAATTTAAATTGAAAAATAATGGACTCCTTTGGAAACGATGACTTTCTCCTTGAATTCGCCTTTAGTAGCCCTAAGAAAGGTAATAGTTGTGATAATGCCGTCTAGAGCCTAAAGATGAGGACTATGAACTAGTCAGCTCAACACCTGAGATCGACGCACTTGAGATCCTTATAGATGACAAGAGCCATGAGAACAAGGAGACTGAAATGCTCGCAAGGGAAATTTATAAAGGTATCCAAAATTCAACCAAAACCAATATTTCTTCTCCTTCTTTCCAACAAAATACATTTGAAAATGAAGAGAATATTTCCCAAAACAGTCAGAAAAATAATAGGTAAACTTATCCACAAATTCCTTGACATGTTTATAGGAAAATAAAATTTCAAAGCAATAGTTCTCCTAAAAAGACTGAGAAAGATTTTTGTAAATATAACCGTAAGCAAGCCTCCACTAAGGATGCTAAGAAGAGTTCTGAAGCTTCTAAAAATCAAAGGAAGCATAAGTCCAACATGAAAAATTTACATCCTGATCAAAAAGAGAGATCTAAGTCAAAATCTGCACCCAAAAATGAGAAAATTGAATATGAACCAGAGACTTTAAATATTGCACCAATGGATAAACCAGAGCAGCCTCAGAGTATACTGAAAAGAATAGGATCAAAATAAGAGGATCGCCTCAGGTAAGCTTGCCATGAATTCACTGGATACTAAAACTCATGTAGGCAATAGATCGAGAGGCCCAGGATCGATACATAGTAACAGAGGAAGCTCATGCAAGTCACAAAGAGGATGAAATACCTCTCAATTACTTCAAACACATAATAATTCCATTGCTGGGCTTCAAAGCAATGCGACTGGAATGAAAAACTTAAAGTATAATTCAGTATCTCTTTCTCAAGCAGAGTCCGAAAATAGTTGTGATAGCAGATATGGCTCTCAGAAAAGAGCTGGGTCTATCTGAAGAGGAAATATAATTCAAGCTAAAAATAATATGTCTTTTAATGCACACCAAAATATCAGAGATAGCTATGAAACTAACGGGAAATCTCTAGCAAATTCAGGCATCAGACCAGTTCACTCTCCTGTTCTTATTAGAGATGAGGAGGTTAACTTCAAAACAGAAGAATCAAAGTGATCAAATGAAGACCTAAATGAACTAGATAAGCTACTTCAGCTTAATGAAGATCCTCCCTGAAATAAGGAGATTATGGAAACTCAAGAAGTTAGATTACAAGGACTCAAAGACTCAAGAGCTACTAGGCTTTCAAGAGAGGATATTATTAATCTGCCGAAGCCAGTTCCTCAAAATAGGAAATGAATCATTGATAGCCTAAAATCATTAAAAGAGCCAATAATGATCAATGGATTAAAAATATATGAACCAGTAGGCTCAACTCTGTGGGAAGTTCTCCAGAATCAGCCCCTCACTGCTCTCCGGCTGAAACTTTCAAAGCCTAAAATGCTTGAAAATGTACTTAACAGGTGTGAAGAAGTCTTATCTCAAACAATGGGAGAACATCTAGAAAAGCCTTCTCCAATGCTTAGGGCACTACAGTTTAGACTTATCAGAATCTTATATAAAAAGCAGCTATACCCCCTGACCCTTCGCCTCCAAGAGACCATCTACGAATACAATAGCAAACTAGTGTCACTGGAAGAGCTCAGAATGGTCTGGAAGCAGACCTGCACTTACACCAGAAAGGTCAATGGAGATAAAGGTCTTGTCTCAAAAGTCCGCCAAAACAGAGCTTTCGAAATGAGAAGACAAATGAATGTGAACCAATTTGGAGTGAGTAAAACTCAGAATCTTCATAAATCAAAATATGAAGAAAGAGAGCAAGAATGAGAGCTCAATTATAAATTATGCAAAGATATTTGTAAGAAATTACTCCAGAAATGATGTCTATTGAGCCTGAGACTCCACACTCGTATTAACCAGGAGATTAGAAGGCTAGTAGATCTTACTCAGGGTAACACTGAGGTAAAGAGGAAAATATTTGATCAGTTCAAATTGCTCAGACTTGAAAGAGCTGAAAGGAATAAGGTCTACAATAATGCTCAAAAACATATGCAACAATGGAAACTTTACATGTGTCTAAAATTTTGGCAGAATATAAAGCAGTATGAGGCAAAGCAATTAGAGAGAGAGGAAAAGGCAGTAGAACTCTTTCAAAAACGAAGAGTTTACAGAATATTTCATCATTTCAAACTTGGGATTGTGCAGAGTAGAATCTCAATAATTAATAAAAGACTAATATACAGCTATTATTCAAAGAAGATTCAAGCAAAGTCATTAATAGAATGGTGTAGAAGAACCCATGTGGATAAATCAATCAAAGAAAAAGTGATAAAAATGATGAACAAATCAAACACGAGTCTAAATAGCTCTTTATATAGCATGAATAAGATCCAACTTGAAAACTATTTCAACAATCTTAGAGAAAGTAGTGACATTAGAATCAATGAAGATGTCTCTGAGATTATTCGTGAAAGAGACCATTACAAAGTCTATATCAAAAATGAGCAATTTCAGTTTGAAACTGACATCAACACAAGATACCCACTGAAGTTAGATATTCAAACTAAAACTTTCTTCGATCTTTCATTTCGAAAAATTAAGTGAGAGAATCAATACTTCAAGTCATCAAGAGAGAACTTTGCTCTCACCCCTGAAAAATTGAGAAGAAGAGATACTCCTCAGACTAAATTTGTTGATTTGCTGAAATCTCATAATAGACAAAATTCATTCGACAGGCTTTATGAGACGTCGATTCAGCCATATACTGAAGATCTAAAGAAAAGCATGGCTGAGAAGGAGATGATTCACAAATCTTTGCATAATTTCAGACTCAGTCAATCTACTTACAGTCAATCTCCAAGTAGGCATAATGAGAACCAAGGCTTAGATATGAGCCCTTATGGTTTAGACAGGGTAAATATTTGCCAAATTAAAGCGATTCCTTGAAAAGATGACTTTTTCCATAGTCCAAATCAAGAAGTAAGAGGTGCTTCACAACTAAATTCCTTCCCAAAGCCTCTACCAAGAAGAGTGTTTGTCCCTCAAAATGCACCAAATGATATTTTCAGAAAACTTGAGAGTAAAATGAAGGCTTCAATGTCTGTCAAAAAGAATGAATCTTTCATTCAGCCAGATAGATCTGGACTCATTGCAGCTGGAGCTATCAGTCCAGAGGTCAGGATCAAGAACCACATCCGGACTTTACTAAACAGTATGAGAGCTTTAAGAGATGTTCCTGGAAACTATTTCAAAAATAGCTTCTTCAATAAAAGTCAGCTAGATACAAGGAACATCAAGAGTTTAGAGGACACATTGAGACAGGCCAGGAAAATGCACCCAGAAATGCCAATGACTGAACTCTGATCTTCCATCTACGGATCGAAAATAGTCAGTCTATGCTTCACTCAGTGGAAGATTGCATTCATCCAAAAATGGATATGCACTGATATGCAAATGCTTCAGAGATATAGAGCAGGAAAAACTGCCCTTAGGAGTATCAGAGCGTATCTTCAAGAGAAGAGGTCTAATATCCAAGAATTTAAGATAAAGAGAGAACTCATGTTCAAGTCCCGTGTTCTCAAAGCTTGGCAAGATTATCGAAATCTTCCAATTAAAAGATTTAGACAACACAGGATTTTATTGAAGTGGAAGAAAGCTCATTCTGATACAATGATGCAACGCTTCAAACTAAGAGATGCTCTTCAGTTTAGAACCCGATTGCTGCAACAAAAAGTTATGTACATTTTGTATAGATTTTCTCAAAGCAGAATTATTCCAAAAAGGAGGCACCAAATAACTCTAAAGACTAAAGCAATGTTTTCATGGATCCAATGGCACAAGAAAGTGAAATCTATCAGAAATCTATGATCTAAGTACATGAACCAGGAGTCTGTAAAAACTGCAGAAAGTGTGATGGCTTATAACTACTTGGTCAGATGGCGAAACAACGTTCATGAAGCAATCTCTCATGAAAGGGACCAAGTGATGACCTACACTGCTCTCAATTTCAGGATTTCAACTCTCTGCAGTAAAGCCTTTAGAGCCTGGAAGATGAAGATCAATATGATGAAAGTGATTAACAAGGCAGAGAGGAAAATTATTTGTGCAACCCTTGGATTCCCATTCTTTTGTATCAAAGACCAATCTGAAAGAAACTACATGAATATCGATATTGACAGCAGCCAAAGCTCAGAAATTCTCCAGCATCAATACGAGTCTGATAAGCTTAAGTGCAGGCTAGCAATCTTGTTTAGGAAGAGGAGTCTTATGATAAGTTGGAGAGAAGTTGCGCTCTCCAAAAGGATAGATTTTCCATGAGATTACTACAACCTAAAAACTGCCAAGAAAGCCTTTGGATGATTCAAAGTTGCCTTGAAGAACAGATGGATTAAGCAAAAAAATAATATTCTCTGAGAAGCATACATTGAACGGAGAGAGGAGAAAATAAAGATGAAGGTGTACATTAAGCTCTTTCAAAACGTCCTTGCATCCAAAAGGGAAAGGTACCAAGAGAAAGTATGTGATGATTTCAGGAAGGACTTCTTAATCACCAAGGCTTTCAAGTCACTAAAGACCAAGCATACTCCAAGAGAAGGTATTGACAAAGCACAGTTTAATAAAGTGCAGTATATGAGACCTGAGTTCTCTCAGAATTTAGAAGAGCCTTCTGGATCAAGTCAGTTCCAGAGTCTCAAAACAGATTCAAGAGTAAGGAATTAAGCATAACATATAGGAGCTCAGCATTAAGGACCTCAAGGAAGTAAATCAGGATAACAAAGATGAGCTTTTAGAAGATATTGTAAGAAACCGACATCTAAAATTTAGTACCAAAGGGTAATGGTTTTCAAGCGCAAAATGCTAAAAACTAGATGATTCGTAGCATGGAAGTACCATTTTAGATATGAGAAATCTATTACAATTCAAAGTTCTCCTATGGGTGAAGGTAGAGATGACCAACTTGAGCTTTCTGGCTCTTCTATATTGAATCTTTCCCTAAGTAACGACAATGGAACTCACATAAATCATGAAGATCTGGAGTTATCTGAGCAGCCAAGATCTTTTACAGAAGAGTTCTGAGGTGAAAACCAAAACCCTAAAGGTCCGAATGAATACTCAGAATCACAGTAAGGCTAATTTTAACAGTATAGTTGTCAAAGATTTTTCAAAGATCTTGAAAACGTAATGAGGAGGAGAAAAATATACTAATTTATTAATCAATCTCATTCATATACTTCGGGGTTTTGGGGTTTTGGGGTTTTGGGGTTTTGGGG